GCATTCTGGCGCCGGCCATGCCGCCCCTAAAAATGTGCCGCCCCAAGCACCAGCTTGTTTTGCTGGTGCCTAGAGCCGGCCCTGGGTCCACTGGATATAGTTGGCTTGCATGGGGGTAAATCACAGCAGAATTTGGCCCTGCACTATAGGCCCAGCAGTAAGCAGCAATTAGAGACAAGTCCCTTCAACAACAACATTCTGTCATCACAATCTCTCTATCACTTGCAGATCAACAGATCTGTGAGCCACTTTCCCCAGAAACAGGATAAATGTAGGGCATACTGTGCAAAAATAAAAATCAATGTCACTAATTACACTGCTGCTTGTCAAGTCTTTTCTTGACGTCTCTTTACCTTTTTCCATTGCTTTAATTCTGTCCTCTCTCCCAGATTCCCTCTTGATTCCTTTTATCTATTTGGTCTTCTTTCTCTACCTCATGTTTACTTCAAAAGCTAACACTGTCCCCTTTACAGGCCATTATAAGGTATCCTTCCTATTTTGTGTTGCTGTCCTTCCCCTCCCTCATTGTGTCTTTCCTTGTTTCCCCACCCTCTCTCTCTGCCTTCCATGGTGGTGGCCTCTCCTCTTGCATTCCTCTTCCCCACCCAATTTTGCAGACAAAAAGGCTGAGCTAGGTGGCCCACTGGGGCAGGTCTATAGGCAGCTGACTATGAATGTCAAGCCCTGAATGGAAGATCTCTTTAACTTTATATGGGAAAGCTCTTTACGAACTGCTGCTTCCACATCCTTGGGCAAAAAAAGAAAAGAAAATGCAGCCATTTATTATCTGACTCAATGCATCTACCAGTTTTCTGGCATACTTACATTCAGGACCATTTGTTAAATGGGATAGTGCCTACTTACAAGGTGGTATGTAGATTTTTTTAAAGGAGGTCAATCCCAACCAAACACAGGCTTAGAAAGGGATCCTGCAAAACTAAGAAAAGTACTCTTTATCCACAGGAAGATTCTGCTGATGACAAGGCAATATATGCAGGTCTCCACCCTCAGCCCCCTTCTTTGCTCCTCCTACACCTTATCTCTGAGTGACTCTCATCCATAATCGCAGCTCAATTACCATCTTTATGTTAATAATTCACAAAAATTTCTCTCCCCTCTGAACCTGAGTCCATCTAAACTCAAAATCTCAGCCTGTCTTTTTGACATTTCCTTGTGGATGTCCAGCTGTCAAATGAAACTTAACATGACCTATTCTCCCTCCCTACCAAAGACCTCTACTTTCTCTATCACAATCATCCTTCCTGTTGCTCAAGAACATAATCTTGGCTTCCTCTTTGATGTGGCCTGTCCTTTGACCCACACACCCAGGCCATGTCTAAAACTTGCCGCTTCTTTCCACCACAACATCTCCATAAATCGACTTTTCCTCTCATAAGAACAGCCATACTGGGTCAGACCAAAGGTCCATCTAGCCCAGTATGCGGTCTTCTGACAGTGGCCAATGTCAGGTGCTTCAGAGGGAATGGACAGAACAGGTAATCATCAAGTGATCCATCTGCCCACATTGCCAAAATTCTTGTCCAAGACCTAACCATCCTGTGCCTTAACGACTGTGATCAACACTCTGACCTCAATGCCTGTTACCTCATTCTCCTCAAATCCATTCAAAATGCTGCTGCTAAGACCATCTTCATGACTCAGTGCACGGACTATGTCACATATCCCTTTTAAGGTTCTCCATTGGCTCCCTGTTTCCAGTACATCAAACACAACCTTTTTGTCCTTACTTACAAAGCCCCCAACCTTTGATAGTTTAGCCCCTCTCCATGTAACTGATCTGTTATCATAATGTTGACTCCCACCTTCACTCTCTCAATAACACCAGCCTTGATCTCCCAATTCTCCACTTTTCTGACATGCTCTTTCTGCCAGGCCGCCCTTTACACATGAGAAAAGCTCCCAATCAAAATCCATAAAGCTATCATCTTGTCCTGCTTCAAGTCCCTCCTCAAAACTCACTTCCTCCATAACACAAATGGTAAATTGCAACACGATAATGGCCAGGCAAGTAGAGAGCTGTGATCACTACTACTGGCTAAGCATTTTCACATCCTATTATATTTATATGTTACACCATCTCATGCCATTCCGACCCACTTGTTTGTCTCATCCCTCTGTTACATCTTGTCTTTTAGACTGTAAGCTCTTCGGGCAGGGACTGACATTTATTATATATTTGTATGGTGCCTAGGATAATGGGCTCAACCTGGTTGTCAGAAAGCCCTGCCAACATGCCTCCAACCTAAACTAAAGAGACCTACTCAGGGATAACAGGAAATGCAGCCTCCGTCCCCATTCAGTCCTTGAGTTCTCTGCTGAGGCTATCAGTAGTAAATATGTTATGACACAGACATCTCACCACAAGGAACTAGTCCAAGACTAGCAATTCATGTTACATTGGGCACTAAACAGGTATCAGACAGTAACAACTTTCCATCACTATCAACCAGAGTCAGATTTGACTGGCAAACTAAAGGAAAAATGTTCCTTAGCCCATTACCAATCACTAGAGCTGACTAGCCCTCCTGTACAATTTATTTTTAAAATGAATCCAACAAAAGGTTGCCACTATTTCACTTGTAAGGTATTCCACGATCTAATAAAACTTGAGTTTGGAATTCCCCCTCGCTCCCAATCTAGTTTTTTCTTTGTTCTAGTTAATTCCATTACTCTTGGTTATACCTCCTTGCTTACACTATTCTAAAACAATGCCTCTCCCTAGATAGTGGTTAATCTTTCATCCTGAATCAATTTCTTCCATTCTTAGTTATTGCTAAACCTCCTTACACAAAGGCTTTAGCAGCAAACTACTGATTGCTGAAGTTTCCCAATGTTTTATCTTCTAGCCCTTTCTGTTGTCCCAAGAGTGGGTTTTATTTCTTGTGACAGATATAGTGATAAACGTGCTATCAGATGGTAGATTTATTTTCCAAGGCCTTTCGGGAGCACCACAACCAGCTTCTTGTCAGATATCACCTGAACAAAATTAACACTCAAGTCAGTTCAAGGACTTTCCAAACTCTTAAGGCCCAAAAGATTCTGTATTTTGAGTGGTTGTCAAAGTGCCTTCTTCCTTCAGATGCCATGCCATGCACTCATTCCAGAAGCTCATAGGAGACCACAGGCATCTGTCTCACACCACCTGTCTCAGCACCTGAATGCAATATTTGCCCAGTGTGTGAAATGTGTTCACTTCTCCAATGTATCAGCAGAAATAGAGGTCAAAGAAGGATTCTTTGCCATGTATGGTTTTCCCAATGTGCTAGCGCTATGTGTAGGTACAGGGGATTTTACACATGTGGAAACATTACCTGCTCAAGAAGATTTTAAAAGAATGGTTTGCAAAAATAAGAAGCAGTAGAACAACATGAGTATCTAGGGACCTAAACAGATCATTAAATATATGCTTGCCAAAAAGTCTGAGTCCCACAGAGAAACCAGATGGCTGTGTATGTGACAATCAAACCAAAGAAATGTATTGTCTACACATATTACCCACCCCCACAAAATGCTAATTTCTGAAGGATTTAGTTCTCTGATTTATATGCATATGGCAGTCAGATTAATAGATAAACACCTCCTGGGTCAATTAGGAACAAGACAGCCCATAGCAATGACAGACAAATAATATTTTAGACACATTTTATAGATATAACTAAAATAATGTGTAACTGATAAGTTTGAATAATACCGATTTTCAAAATCAGGCCCTGATACCACAATGAGCTCTGCATGGATACAGGGGTCTGCCCACAGGAAGCTCATTGAAGGCTAGGGGTCTCAATATACCTGCCATAGTGTGGATATATATGAACAAATATATAGTGTAAAATACATATAAAGCATCCCAAGTATATGCCTCCCGAGGTAGCTTTTCCTACTTACACACGTGACAAAAATTCTGCAAAGACTGTCCTGTAAATAACATTGGCCCAGGGCATACCCTCCTGTGGAAATACCTGTGGGATGGGAATGGGGCAGTTGGGGGTTGAATCCTCATGGAGTTTCCCGAAAATCCATCTGGGTGGGGAAGGGAACCCCAGTGGGATGAGCCATTGTTTCACCCCCGTAACCCGACAAATTAACCCCTCTGGATCCACAGGAGGTAAGAGACATATGTTTGAAGAGCTGATCCCCTCTTCTGCCTCTGGGACCCCCCAACTAGCTGGCAGTGGGGTTGGACAGGGAAACAACTCACCCCCACCCCACTCCCCTACCCCTTTCCCAGCAGCAGGGCTGCTCTTGGTCTGGATCCCACAGTGGGGCTGGAGAGGGGGCAATTTACACCCCAGTGTCACTAACCCCCTTGGCCTTCAGAACCAGAGAGAGGGCAAATGACACCTGAGTATTATGCAGTCACCCTTTGCTCTGCGGCCATGACCAGCCGGTGCCCCCCCAGCCGTGCCCAGCCCTGCCC